ATCTAAGGGAAAAGGTCAGTGCCTGTGACTAAATAGTCAAGTATTGCATGTTTTAAAATTTCTTGTGGCACACCAGTTGAAAATCGCTGGCTTAGGGTATGGATGGTTCCTGACAGTACTGCCTTCTCGGCCTTGGGGATTGGTCTGATGTCCTCCGCCCACCTTGCGCTTTCCATGTCCTCTCACAGCTGGCGAAAGGCTGGTACAGTCAGTGAGAAGGCATCTGGGAGCAGTGTGTGTGGCCTGTGCCCTGGGATTGGACCTTCCTCCATTGCCCTTTGGGACCAGAATGTAGAAAGCCTGCCCAGAAAGCAGCCCCAACTGACCTCTAACCCACTGTGAATAGCCTCCTTTACCCACAGCCGTGTCTGCTATGCATTACACACGCTAATCCAAGAGAGGGGACAGTTTTTTCTTAACTCTGGGTTTTTCTCAATCTTATCCTATTTTGGGGGGCCATAGACTCCTGTATGCATTTATTTATTCAAACACCAAACATTTGTAGTCTGTGACATACACGTTCTTTTCTTTTAAAAAGTGTCCTATTTATACAATAAAATTAAGGTTTGGTATTATGAATATGTATTCTGGTATCTGGAAATTTTACAGAACTCTGGATACTTTCTAAAGAGACCAACTTTTCTGTTAAAATTAGATTACCACTTGACTAGATCTGCCTGTTTTCAGAGCCCCTGTAGTGTTAACTCCCAGGAATACTAGCTACTTTTTCTTTGGTGGATTCAACTTTATTTTACTAACATCAGATCAGAAAAATCAATTCCCAGGTCTAGAAAACTCTCAGCAGTAGACTTCAATAAAAATTCTACATCTATAAGTTATATGACTACACGTGTAGCTAATAGCAGTATAATTTGCTAGCTTTTTCTGGGGCACTAATTGGAAGTAAGGAAAAATGCATATTGATAATTTTCATGACCTTAGAATTTTAAATAAATAGGAACAAGTTTCCTATATTTTCTTCCTTGCATTTTTCCTTACAATTTTAAAATTAAAAGTTAAGCTGATTTGATATTACAAGTGTAACAACACTCTTAAATAAAAGAATTGCTATTCTAAACTACTTAAAAAAATCAACTGTCTCCTTGATAACCTGAGGTATTATACTTTTATATAATAACAATTAGGTACATATAACTTATTAATTCTAAAAAGCATTTTATTATTATTATTTTAAATCCTCACCCAAGGATATTTTTCCATTGAATTTTAGAGAGTGGACGAGAGACGGAAAGACAGAGAGAAATATTGATGTGAGAGAAATGCATCAATTGGTTGCCTCCTGCACACACCCAACCAGGGCCCAGGCTGGGGAGGAGCCTGCAACAGAGGTACGCGCCCTTGATCAGAATCGAACTTGGGACCTTCAGTCTGCAGGCCAACACTCTACCCACTGAGCCAAACCAGCTAGGGCCTAAAAAGCATTTTAAAGAGGAGTAACATGATATAATGTAGAAATTGGAGAAAGAATTAAGTTCCTGACTCTTGGATCACTATCTCCCATTGTCACTAGCCTCCATTGTCACTAGTCTCCATTGCACCAGCTTCCATTGCACCAGCTCCCATTGTCACTATCTCCCATTGTCACAAGCTTCCATTGTCACTAGCTCCCATTGTCACAAGCTTCCATTGTCACTATCTCCCATTGTCACAAGCTCCCATTGTCACTAGCTCCCATTGTCACTAGCTCCCATTGTCACTAGCTCCCATTGTCACTAGCTCCCATTGTCACTAGCTCCCATTGTCACTAGCTCCCATTGTCACTAGCTCCCATTGTCACTAGCTCCCATTGTCACTAGCTCCCATTGTCACTAGCTCCCATTGTCACTAGCTCCCATTGTCACTAGCTCCCATTGTCACTAGCTCCCATTGTCACTAGCTCCCATTGTCACTAGCTCCCATTGTCACTAGCTCCCATTGTCACTAGCTCCCATTGTCACTAGCTCCCATTGTCACTAGCTCCCATTGTCACTAGCTCCCATTGTCACTAGCTCCCATTGTCACTAGCTCCCATTGTCACTAGCTCCCATTGTCACTAGCTCCCATTGTCACTAGCTCCCATTGTCACTAGCTCCCATTGTCACTAGCTCCCATTGTCACTAGCTCCCATTGTCACTAGCTCCCATTGTCACTAGCTCCCATTGTCACTAGCTCCCATTGTCACTAGCTCCCATTGTCACTAGCTCCCATTGTCATAGGCTCCCATTGTCACTAGCTCCCATTGTCACTAGCTCCCATTGTCATAGGCTCCCATTGTCACTAGCTCCCATTGTCATGAGCTTCCATTGTCACTAGTTCCCATTGGATAAGACAGTACTTAATAGCTAGCACACTTGTTAAGTCTCACTTTAATCATTTTTTTAAAATCACATGGTGTTGAGGACTAAGTTAGAATGTGAAAGTTCTACAGTGTGAATCATGTTTAGAATGCCATTGGTATATACTTTTGATTTGGGGAAATTTGGGATCTTTCTACTTTGGATCCATTCCTTATGAGGCAATGCTTCAGCCATATGAATTTCAGCAGAGGTCTTACAAATCCAAGGTCTCTGAGGTTGGGGTGGGGGCTGGAAAACGTGGAGACCCCCTGGAAGATGTGCCTTCTCAAAGGATTGCAGGCACTGCCTCCTTCATGTGACTTTCTGAAGTTTCCAGCTTTAACTTTCTACGTTACTCTTTTTTTTTCCTTAAGAGGATTGCAATCATTCAGAGAAAAAAAGAGAGTTTAGGAACAATATCCATTCACTCACTAGAGCTCTGACTTTAGGGAGGAATAAAGGAGACTAGAAGAATCTTGTTTTTTAAGTCCGTGGATTTGTAAAAATACCCTGAATGATGTGTTGTTGTTACTTGGGGATGTCTATAAACTTCATAGAACCTTAGTGTTCCACTAGAATTTAAGAAATGTTGTTCTATATGAACAAACAAACAAATCACCTTAAGAGAAGCAAGTAGTCTTGACCAAGAATCAATTGGTATTCTTTCCCATACCCTGTAACCCTGGACATTCTAGAAGGTAGTCTCTAGAGCAAGTATTAGTATAACATTACTGAAACCCTAGGTTGTTATAGTTATCACCTTAGGAAAGTAGAAAACCAAGTATAGAAATAATAAAGTCTTTAATTAAACCAATGATGATAATATTGGAAAGTAGGTTTAAGTGTAAATGTCCTAAGAGGTTCTGTAATATGGTTATACGTTATTTTGATTATTTTTTAAGGTGTTCAAAATGTTAAAAAAATAAAATAAAAAAAGCAATCAGACTAGATTAGAAAGTATATTTTGAATTGGTTAAGAAAATGTAAGCTCGGCTGGTGTGGCTCAGTGGTTGAGCATTGACCTATGAACCAGGTGGTCATGGTTTGATTTCAGGTCAGAGCACATGTCTGGGTTGAGGGCTCAACCCCCAGTAGGGGGTATACAAGAGGCAGCCGATCAATGATTCGCTCTCATCACTGATGTATCTATCTCTCTCTCCCTCTCCCTTCTCCCTGATACCAATAAAAAAATATTTTAAAAAAGAAAAGAAAATGTAATCTAGAGTTTAATCTATCTTTAAATGAATAAAAATCAGTTTTAATGTTTATTTGTGGGATATATAGATTTAAAATTTGACCATTAATTTTAAAAAAGAAAATAATTGCTGCGTCAGAATCACATTTATTTAAAATTCATTATTGTAAAATCTTTAGCCCCCCCTTGTGAGAAAGTTACAAACTCTATAAATGTTTGATTCACATACTTATATAAATTCAACTGAGAATAACCTCCCAATTATATTCATGCTCTAAAAAGAACATTGATTTTAATCATGACTAGATATTTAGTCATTGATGTATCCCTTCCTTGTATTAAATCCATGAACTTTAAAATTTTCCCTAAGATTTTCTTATTATATATAAATGACATTTTTTGAGTGAAACAACAGAACTTTAATTTCATATTTTAATCCCACTCTGATAGTTGGCCAGTTGATGCATCTATTCCACTCAATTGGTATCTTGCATTTGATAAAATGAGAGTTTCAGTTCTGTGCTCTAGAATCTAGCTGTCCGTTTCCACATGACCTGCTCCCTCGCAGGAACATGTGACTTGGCCACATTATTTGGGCTCTTTGTGCATTAGATGGAGGGATTCTTGGGAGGAGAAAATGGGATAAATGTACGTGAAGGGCTGAGTCCAGTTCCTGGCACATAGTAAGCACTTACTGAATAGTTGCTATTATTATTGTCACTCAAAGAAAAAGAACTCATTTACCACTGGTTTACACATAAGAACATTAAAAATTTCACACAGAGTTCCAAGGAAATGAGCCAACTTCAATTTCACAAACCAATACAGCAATTTTGAGTGCATGTAATGAAAACTCTATTCCATTGGTAAGTATGGGAGGTCACCTAGTTCCAGCACAGTACTGAGTGGACACAGAACCCAATATATTTTCTTAATTTTTGAGGTAATTTTCTAAATTAAACTCACATCACTATATCATTTGGATGAACTCTGTCATTTCTCTTCCTTCTTAACCATGACCGTCTGAAGAACAAAAAGTGCTAGCAAATGTTGGGTTTCTGAAAAGTAATGGTGACTCATCATTGTTTTTCATCGATTGCTCCTGAATTCATTCTTGCATCAAACATTTTCAGTACATGTTGTGGGGATGGCCTATGATGTGACTGCCTTGGAGTTAGAGGAGGAAGGAGGGCTGTGAGAGCGATGGTGTTTATGAAGACATCCAGGGATCTAATAGTGCTTCTGGCAGAGACTCTCTTACTGAAATCACTAGCATGTCCCTAGAAATGGCCGGAGACTCAGACATGCCCATGAAACTGTGTCACACGACAACAGAGTAAAGCATTCGATCTGGCAAATGTTTTGTTTTCTACCATCTCACCAATGTGCAGATAGTCCATGGAACATAGGCCTTTTAGATGAAAGTATGAAGTTCTGAACCATTATTTTCCCATTGTCTTTCTTTGTAGGCATATGATGGCTTAAGCTCCGCAACTACCCGCCTTGCCCGTGCTTGTGGAAGACAGCAGCTGACTAACCCCATCACCTCTTCAGGAAATAGCCTCTTTGTGAGATTTCAGTCTGGCCCTTCTAGACAGAGCAGGGGCTTCCAAGCTCACTTCAGGCAAGGTAGGTACAGGGTGGGTCTCTCCGAGGCACCGGCCATCTCTCCTTAAGTGCCTCTCTTGGTGCTACGATAAAATGAGACCAATCCTTAGAAATTGGTCCTGGCTTTCTACTTCATATGCAACAACTTAAATAGAACTAAGGAACTATGATTTGCAATTATTCCATTTATTGATCCTTTCAATTTACCATTGTCTAGCTTGGTGCCATCTTCCTTTGGATCTCTGGAACTCTCCGACAAGTTTTCAGAATAATACCTACAAGTAGCTTTAATACTAGAGATATGATTTCTAAGTGTCTATACAAATTCTTGTGTCCATAGATAAATTACCTAACATTTATCCAAGGTTGTATATCCAAAGGAGATAAGCCACTATAAATTATCTATACTAAGAAATGGCCGGAGACTCAGACATGCCCATGAAACTGTGTCACACGACAACAGAGTAAAGCATTCGATCTGGCAAATGTTTTGTTTTCTACCATCTCACCAATGTGCAGATAGTCCATGGAACATAGGCCTTTTAGATGAAAGTATGAAGTTCTGAACCATTATTTTCCCATTGTCTTTCTTTGTAGGCATATGATGGCTTAAGCTCCGCAACTACCCGCCTTGCCCGTGCTTGTGGAAGACAGCAGCTGACTAACCCCATCACCTCTTCAGGAAATAGCCTCTTTGTGAGATTTCAGTCTGGCCCTTCTAGACAGAGCAGGGGCTTCCAAGCTCACTTCAGGCAAGGTAGGTACAGGGTGGGTCTCTCCGAGGCACCGGCCATCTCTCCTTAAGTGCCTCTCTTGGTGCTACGATAAAATGAGACCAATCCTTAGAAATTGGTCCTGGCTTTCTACTTCATATGCAACAACTTAAATAGAACCAAGGAACTATGATTTGCAATTATTCCATTTATTGATCCTTTCAATTTACCATTGTCTAGCTTAGTTCCATCTTCCTTTGGATCTCTGGAACTCTCTGACAAGTTTTCAGAATAATACCTACAAGTAGCTTTAATACTAGACATATGATTTCTAAGTGTCTATCCAAATTCTTTTGTCCATAGATAAATTACCTAACATTTATCCAAGGTTGTATATCCAAAGGAGATAAGCCACTATAAATTATCTATACTATTAAAAGCCTAGGTGGTCCTCCTGCCCTTGCATATGACATTATCACAAGATGGCCGCCACAAGATGGCCACACCCACAGCGGAGGCAGGGCCTGGTGGCTGCTCTGCGCAGTGAGGCCTGGGGGTTCCGCGGCTCTGTGCAGCACAGAGGAGGCCAGTCCCGATGTCTCCATTGCCTCGCGCAGAGGAGGTGGGTCCTGGCGAAGGAGGCAGGTTGCGGCAGGGGAGGGCAGTTGGGGGCGATCAGGCTGGCAGGGGAGCAGTTAGGGGGCAATCAGGCAGGCAGGCGAGTGGTTAGGAGCCAGCGGTCTGGATTGTGAGAGGATGCAGGCTGGGCTGAGGGACACATTCTCCCCCCTCTCCCCCCTCCCCCCGTGCATGAATTGCATACACCGGGCCCCTAGTAAACTATAAACTTGCTTGTAATGTAAAGTCAAATTTTAACCCTTGAATCTTGCCACTGTCCACCTGCCAGTGTTGTTTTCCATTGTTTTTGTTCTTAAATCACCACTTTCCAGTTCTTCTGACCTTTCTATTCATTGCCTTTGATCTGGTAATTCTTAGAGATCAATCCTTTACCCTACCCTCAGAGAGGGAACCCAGAACAAGAAGGGGTGTGAGTTGGCTTCTGTAGGCCTCTGATTTTATTCAGATGACCTTTGTCATTTCAAATAAGTTTAGTCTGCTTGGCCACTTGTCTGTTTCAGTGCGCTTGCTTGCATTCTAAAGTAGAGAGCCCTGGCTAGGGAGGGTTTCTGGATCGAGGTCTCCCAAAGACACACTGTACACTTTGGAGCAAGACAGACTGAATAAATCAACCATTCTCTGTGCTTCCAAAGAAAGAACAATTTATAAATACATTTTTCCCCATTTAATTAATCACTTTGCTTTGCTTCGGAGTGAAAAAAAAAGTCCCCAGTGGATCTTCTCTTGGACTATTAGAACAGCCTCCTCAATCTCACTATCCTTTCTCCATCTTCCTTCAAAGTGAACTCCCAAAAGCCTCATTCTGATCATGCCCTTGAAAGTGACAATATCTGTCCAGCACCGCACTGCCTAGGCCCTAGGGAATGGAGCCCGAGCTCCTTCAGACGTTACCCAAGAGCCCAGGAACCTGCTCTGATCTTTTATTCAGTGTCAACTCCAACTCCCCCCAGGGCCCCACACTTCAGCCAAATCTGTGTAGATGCCCGTCCTTACTGTCCTCTGTGTTTCTGCTCAGGCTGCCCTCCCCCAGAACTACCCTTTCTCACCCCCAATTCCTCCTCCAGCCACTATCTCCCCTGTGACACTCCTCTCACACTCTCACTGGAACAGCCTCTCCCTCTCCTCATTCCCATTTCTCACCCCCAATTCCTCCTCCAGCCACTATCTCCCCCGTGACACTCACACTCTCACTGGAACAGCCTCTCCCTCTTCTCATTCCCACAGAGTTTTGCACTTCTCTGATAATCCACAGCCATTCTTGTGAAGTCTTGTTCAATTGCATATTGATTTTCCTAGAAAAAAAGGTGTCCATAAAAAGATTATTTCTATACCTATCATTATGAGTAGGCAGAGTAAGTGAATCAATGCCGGAGTTTTGTTTGAGTGATTCATTCAATTCATAGCCATTTAATCTGCTGTTCTGTGTGGCTCCCCACTTCCTGTAATTGAAGGAAATGGTTATAAATGTACAGTGAAAAGCCATTTTCTCATGGCTTATGTGCAGCTTCCTCGGCAGATTACTTCCTTGGCCTGAATTTCGGAAATGAGGGAAAATCAATTATGTTTTCATTCATCAAATAATTGTTGTGCATAGCCAGTGGACATCCAGAGTACATGACTGTGTGTGTGTTTGTGTGTCCTCAGTCTGTGGAGGCTACATCCTCACCGACTCCTTTGATACAATATCCTCTCCATTGTTCCCTGCCAAGTATCCAGACAATCAGAACTGCAGCTGGATAATTCAAGCTCAACCCCCATGTAAGTAACAAAAACAAAGAAGGAAAGGAATGCAGGGTGGATGGTGTCTGTGGGAAAGTCCGTCCATGACTAATGTTCTTATCTCTTCCGAGATAACAATTGATGGCCTTCCTCTTTTTTTCTGAAGTCCCAATTCCTGCTCTGCACAAGAACAAACATTTCCTAATTTGATAGAAAAGTTATTTTATATTTTATTCTTAATTTAAAATTTGTTTTTAAGTTTCAGAGCCTAGCAAAGAAAAAGAAAAACCCTAACCTTACTGTATTGACAGGCATGTGAGATTGGGGGTAAGCAAAATGAATTGATAAATAAGTAAATAGTTTTTGACACTTATGCCTTAAGTGTAGCAGATGCACAAAAACAGTTGCCAGATGGATAAATAAATAAGAACCATAGACTGGAAAATTAATAATTCATAGTTTGGAAATACAATGCCATGAGCATATTGCTCTTTAATCAAATTGTACGTTAATTATAAAACCTGGTCTTTCCTGCAGTGCTTGCATTAAGAAAAAAAAAAATTCCAGCATAGGCCTGGAAGAAACACTTAATGAGTACTTACATTATTTCATTTTTGGAATCCTGAAGTCTTATTTTCTGACCTGGTAATAATCTGGTGGTAAAACCTTACCACATATTACAGACAAAGAGAATGAGGAGACCCTTCAGGACTCAAGCAGTGGCCTGAGAGCGGGTGACCCTGGGGCCATTATGAATCATGTTTTAGATGAGTTCTACCATTCCTTGAGGTTTTCAGGAAAAATTTATGATTTCAGTCATAATGCGAGAAAGGCATTAAGCTCTCGACTCCACTGTACAATGAATGACCTGGGTGATAACAGGGAAGTCACTTAAGCTAATGAGGCCCCATTAGCTAATCTAAAAAAATGAAGAGTTTGGCTTAACTATTCTCTAACACATTTCCCGGGATGTCAAGAGTTAACAAATGGATATCTTTACTGACATGCATAGGCTTTGGTGGTTGGTGACGTAATCCTTAGCCACTGGCTGCCTGGAGCCTGGAGCCCCAAAGCAAGTTGCCAGCCCTCCGGAAACTGGGCCTTGGGTAAAGAGGCCCCCTGCCTTGAGCCAGCAGTTCTGCGCCTCAGGATACTTTATGATGAGTTGTAATGCATTTAGATGAGATCTCACTGGTTCAAAGCCAGCATCAGGGGAAGATCCTATTCCGAAGACAGGGACCCTGGAAGAATGACAAAAGGAAAACATACCCGGGCACTTGCTGTTCTGCAAGTAATTCAAAGCTTTCTTTTTAAATGACTGAACCACAGGGCCCTGGCCTGACAGCGAAGCTGACGGTGCTAGGTAGGATATGCTGCCAGGAAGAAGAATGTGTCTTATTTACAATCGCACGTAAAGAACCAGGACTTAAGGACCAATTCTACTGAGAAAAGTACTTAGGAGAAGAACATAGCTAGGGCTGATATAAAAATGTGTAAGGATGACATTTTCCAACAAGCTGTTCCCCATGGTGCATGGAGGACACCTACCCAGGAGTCCTCTTCCTTACTGGCATTTCAGATTCTCTAGGTGTTTTCAACAACATGGATTGATGCTCTTCAAAGGAAACCTGTCAGCAGAGAACTTGTCACTTTCCCTCTTCATCCCCTCAACCCCTGGGCAGATCTGCCCATTTCAGTGCTTCCCGCTGGAGAACCCACGCATGAATCCTCAGAGGTAAAATTTCCCGCCCTGTATGTTTTGTTCGCCAGTACGCTATTAAATAGACTTCGCTTTTTCTTACAGTCAATCATATCACCCTCTCCTTTACTCACTTTGGACTTGAAAGCAGCACAACATGCACACAAGACTTTTTAGAAATTTTGGATGGCAACTATGATGACGCGCCCCTCCGAGGTACCGTGCCTGGAGTGCTCTCATTTCTGTCTGTGGCCTTGGCTGGGTTTCATTTATATTCTGGCATATCTGTGTGCTGTCATTCAAGGTCAGAATGTTTCCAATAAACATGAAGAGCAGCATAAGCCAAGTAAAGATAACTAGAGAATAAGAAACTGGAATTCAGTGTGGGGTTCAAGAAACTCAGCTTGTCATATTCAAGGACATGAATAGTTTATACATTTTTTAAATTTAAAAGTTGCAAACACTTAGATAGTAGTGAAATGCATTCTACCCCGGCATTAAATAGCATTCTGTGAGAAATTTCTTAATATTTAACCACAGTTCTTATATTCAAATTAAGCATGTTTTTTTTTTTCTGGTTTTGTCCTCAGTGGAAGCAAAAAAATAATTATAAGTAAATAAGTAATCTGGATTGGGTTTGTAAGACAACCCAGTAAGACTAAATATTGCAGCTATCTAGGTTCTAAAATGTCCTAAAAAATAATCTCAAGTTATTTAAATGTTTTCTGAGTTACTTATATTTGAGCATCTCCGGGTAAAGTAGAAGATGAGTGTCCTCAGAAACGGATTTTGTTGGGCTAAATTCCCAGTGCCCAGAACAGTGCCTGAGACAATAGCAGGCAATCAGTGAATACGATCTGCTCTGCGCCCACTTCTGATTGTAATGCTTTTTATCTCTAAGCATTTGACCAAGAATGAGGGTATGTTATTTAACAAACACATCTAGAACTCACCTTGTGCTGAGCAGTATTTTGAGAACTTAGTAAATAGTACCTCAATTAATCCTCATACCTTTATGATAGAGGTTTCATTATTTATTGATATTCTCTTTGTTCAAGTGGGGAAACTGAGGCACAGAGAACTTAAGAAACTTGCCCAGGTCACGTGACTAGTAAATGGTAGAGCTCAGAGTTAAATCCAGCTTTTCTGGTTCTAGCATTCACACTTTTCTTGGCTATAATATTTTGCTTTTAAGCACTGGTGCATTTATTTGTGCATTTATTACTGTGCTGGAGATCTTAACATTAGTTACATTTGGAGCCAGGCCATCTGCATTGTTCTCATCTTCCCCTAATGTTCTTTATCATGTTTATAAATCATCTCTCCTATGTTTCTATTTGTAGTTTATTTTTAATTCTCAGGCATTGTTCCAAACACTGACCTGACTTAGATGGTTCTCCTAATAGTGATTGCCTCTGTTTGCTTTGGTTTCTTGTAATTCTAGTAAATCTGTGTTTACTAGAAATAATGGCCTTTGCCCTGTTATCATTCATTCTCCTTGTCATTATTTAGGCCGATATTGTGGCACCTCCATGCCCCATCCCATCACTTCCTTCAGCAATGCTCTGACACTGAGGTTCATCTCTGACTCTAGCGTGAGTTTTGGTGGTTTCCATGCTACATATGCCGCATCATCATCAGGTAAGACACATCCACAAGTGGCACTACTAGGTTAACAAGAAGGTGGTTGAATTCCTAGGTTTGTTAGGTGGGACTCTTTTACCTTTACAGTTGGAAGCTAGTTTCCTGTGTCTAACCTTACATCTTCCAAATTCGGTTAGCACGCTTGTCAATTCTGGCAGCAGTGAACTCTGTTCCACAACTTTATCCATTCACCCACCTGTCGACGCGTAGGGTGTGTGCACACCTTGCTATTGTGACTAATGCTTTTAGAAAGGGAACTCTGGGAGTGAGGAGAGTTGGCTGGAATGATCTTGGATGGCTTGTTTGTCAGTGTGTTGACGTTCTCCTCGGTGACAAGTTGGTTAAGGCAGCCTGTAATTTACAGTGTCTGAGGGCATCTCTTAAGAACGGACAGCCGCTGTTCTCCTGTCTCCCTGGCCTCGAGGTTGGGCTCAGGCAGGGTCTGCGTGCTGTCACTGCTGGCTTGATGGTTGGTGGCACATGGGAATGAGAGGAAGGCGGAGCCACTAGTCCTGGGCCCCTTAGTCAGTGCTGTTTGTCAGCTGCCAGCGCCTTGTTGTCGGCATTTAAAAGCCTTCCAACCTCAGGAGATTTGTGTGTGGCTCAGTCTTCGCTGGAGCGGGAAAGGGCGGAGCACCGCCCCCACTGTAGGCCAGGGTTGAAAATCATCCTGGTCAGAAATAGTGCGTGGTTGTAGGATTAAAACAAGTCTTTTTTGCACAAAGTTATAGTACACAGGGAGAGAAGGCTTTGAGCAAAGGATGTACCTCGTGGCTTTTAGTTTTCAGAATTTTTTTCTTATTTTATATGACCTGGATTTTTGTGTGTGTGAAATAGATGCTGTTAACAGCTCCCCTGGTGCTCCTCCTCCTTTATCTAGTGTGCCTTGCATTTGATCTTTGCCCGGGCACTCACTGTTTTCTCCTTTCTTGCAGCTTGTGGTGGGGACTTCCACATGGCTGAAGGCACCTTCGACAGCCCTGGCTACCCTGAAGTTTATCCCTCGAATGTGGAATGTGTCTGGAACATTGTCAGTTCCCCTGGCAACCGGCTCCAGCTGTCTTTCATGTAAATCCTTTTTTATGGAGTATTGTTTCAGTGGATCTGCAGGAAGGAAGCGCTGTTACTAAAAGGGAGGACAGCTAATAGCACATGTGTCCAAGCAACTGTTCGAGAACACGGTGGGAACCTGAGGAACTCTGTTCCAAAGTTCCTTTGGTTTAGTCACAGTTCGGGTTATAAATAGCATTACAGTTCTCTTGAGAATGGTCCTAGCGTCCTGCCTAATATCACCAGAAATACATGCCTGAGCATTAATTTGTGGAGTCTTCATTTTTAGAGAACAGTAATTTCATTTTTTTAAAAATTAGGAACATTTATATTCTGCCAGAGAATCACTAACATTCTCTCTTCCAGCAGAAATCCTATCTCAGTTAAGCCTTCTTACCCACACACCTTATGACCCCCTACCCCACCCGAATCCACCTTTCCTTCTGCTCCTACAAAGAATATTTGGGACGTTTTTTGCAACTAGTGGTTTACTTGTAAAATCACTCTCATGTTCCTCAGTGAACTGCAAGACTTATGAATATAGGGTCCCTCAATGATCTGAGTGGTCTTAAATTAAATGAAACAACAGTTTAAATTTAATTTAATTTTTCTAGAAGTAGATAGTGAAAAACATATGCTAAGTGAAGTGGGGCTTTTTAATCATCCATAGAAAGGAGCCTGTGACCTGCCACACTCATAATGAAAGCTGAACAAATATTGAATGACAAGACTAGTATTTAAATTCACGTTTTTAATTAAAAGTTATTTATAATACTATATTGTATATTGTTAAGCTTTGGTTGGGTGGCTAATTCTGTTTTTGAAGAGAATATAAGTTAGTGCTGAGGAAAGAGGATTGTTTTGCTTGGCCTGTTTATTAAAAAACAAAAATCTTGCTGCTTCTCCTAGACATGCCATTCTGTGCATTAAGAATGGATAAAAAAATGAGAGAACAATCTTATTTGTGGACCATGTTCAAACATCTCAAGTTGCTTTCTTTCAGCCCATCAATCAGACAGGCCTCCTCTGGGACAAGTGGCATTGTGTTAAAACAAAGACACCCTCCCGAGCGCCTGAGAGTCAAAGAAAGTTTAAGTTGCCACAAGGGAAAGAGGTTTTTGCTTGCTTTTGTTTTTACTAAAAGCAAAGTTCTCTATGGGAAGATATGTATGTATCTGATATATATATATATATGTATTCCTTTATTCAATATTTATTAAGCCCCTACTATATGCTAGGCACATATTGGGCAGATGTTACTCCTATGCTAGTAATAGTGAATAAAACATGATCATTATCCTTATGATGAAGTCCAAAGTCCTTCACGTGGCTTATTAGGCCTCATAATTGCCAAATAAAAGGGATTTTTTTTTTCATCTTTTTCCTCTCTGTCAATACCACATTTACATTGTTGACCAATCTGACATTTGATAGTGCCAGGAACCGGGCCAGGCACTGGGACTGTTTAAAATCAATAAGATTCCCTTTCTTGGTAAGTTACTAATAAGTTAATGTCAAGAAGCTATTTATTTAAAGCCTAAAGAGATGCATTTCATCTATAGCAGATAATCATATAGGGGCACTGTTGAGATGAAAGTTCTCGAGTTTAAAATGTATAGCGCAAGGCTGATGCATCCCAGATGTTCAATGAACATTAAATTCTCTCACGTTGTCATTTCTAAAGTATCTTGGGTGGTAGTTCACAGTTAAATTCAATTGGACAACACTTGACTCTCCTAGAAGGTGGGAGATAGACACAAAAAGCAAATTGCATCTATTTTACTGCTTAAGGAACACTAAAGTTCTAATTTTTGTATAGACAAATTTTAATGGCCCAGCTTTTTCCTTTCTCATGCATAAGACGTTAATTTTTATTGTTTCCTGTTACTCGCTTGAGTTTTATTTTTTAAATAAATTCTGTAGAATGCAATGTTCCCCTTTATGTGGATGATACTGAGGAAGGCCTGCAAGTTATTTCTGCCGTGGTCTAAACTACATCCAGATGGGTGGTTGGACGTGTTCCTCTGGGGCAAGAGAGGAGCATATGAGGAGCATATGCCATACATCAAGTTCTAACCATGGGGTTTGGATTGTGGACACTGCGGTGAAACTGAGTAGGGAGAAAAATTGAAGAAATTATGGTTGCTCTGCAACAGAAAGGACGAGGGTGAAATAAAAACTAAAAAGGAGTTTTTTGTAAAGGGATTAACAAAAAATATATTTTATGCTTCAGAGTGCTTTTAGAAAGAAAGTGATTGATCTTGGTTCAAGAATCAAAATGAGATAATGAGAAACAGTGATTGTACTATTTTTGTTTCACATCAGTTTTACTCACAGATCTTAGCCAAAGTGTTTGGAAAGAAGGGAGATTTGCTTTTAAAATGTACTGACCTAAGCTTAATTTGATCCTTGTAAGTATTATCTTACCATCACTTCTAATAAAAATGTGTGGTACTAAAACAGAAAACCTGCACTTAATAATCTTCTGGACCTATGGACCAAACTTTAATATGCATCCTGACCTTGCTGAAACCCACAGGCCAATGCACTTGGTTGATGGGCTCTGATTCTTCATTTCACACAGGCTCTAGGGTGAGGCTGAGGCTGCTGGAGCACGTACCGCACTTTGAGTAGAAAGGTTTCATGTAAATCACCTGCTGAAGAAAATGATCTCCCTTTATCCTTTTTTTTTCTGAGAAGCAAAAGAAAATAGTTTTAGCATGTTCTACAGTGTTGATATTATTATGGAATATAAAGCCAAGCACCAAACTTGGCCACCATCCTAAAGATGGATTCAGAATAGCTCCTTGCCAAAAATGATTGTAGGCCTAAATTTTGTATTGTAAAAAATCAAGTTGTCAAGGAAGACAATGAGGGTCATGACTAAAGTAAAGTTTGCCTAGCCTGATATGGGTATTTCTGGTTTCTTTTGCTCCTCAGCTGTCAGTCGTAGCTGGCTGTCAGAACTGTGTCCGAAACACAGGTCCAGAAGATTTATCCTGTAGTAACCCACTTTGATGGGATCATGAGAGCCACAGACTCCCTGTTCCTCTGGCTAGAGACCTACGGATGCTGGTATCTGGCTTGAGAAACTGGTGGTAGAACAGAGCTCACCAGTCAGTCTGCCTTAGTGCTCTGGTTGGCAGTGAATGCTCAGAGATGTCCCAGATACATTGATCCATCCCATGGTGGGGCTTGCGGTGACCAGAGCTTCCAGGCCATTGTCTCTGCCTTAAGAGCATCCTAATCCAGGAGCTGCGATAGAGCCCCAGGAGAGCACTGTGCTTATGACCCTGTGAAATCTTGCAATGTTGGGTAGTGACTGAAAGACACACACAGTAGAGAAGTACTTTGCTATGACTGAGACAATTTTTTTCTTCTCAATAGTTTCTTTTCTATAGTCTTACTAGTCGTTCTTTCTTCTCTTTATTTGTGCTTCCTCTTCTCAGCAAAAACTCCCTCCAATTACTCCTGAAAAAAGGATAGTTTCCACTCACTTACTTTACTTTTATCTTTAACCATTAAATTACATTTTTCTTTAAAAATTAATTTTAAATAAATAAAATGTAATAGGGCAGCAAAGTCCCCCATCTACATTCCTTTACTTTCTCATTACATAGGTAACCCACACAGTATTTTGAATTTTATGTTTCACTTCCATGTTTATTTTATAATTTTAATATATATATATATGTATATATATGTGTGTGTG